GAGGCCTTCTATCTCCAAGGTGAAGGACCAGTCAGACATAATTTATGGAATTAAATTGACATCTGCTGACTCAGATATGGAGTTTACTGGTGAGAGTGTCATTGAAACACGTACATCTCTGCTTCTGGTGGACCGAGCATTTGAACTCTGTGTCACAGTCCCCATGGAGACACCCTCGCTTGCGGATGGCTGCGCTTATTCTCTGTTTCCGCTCTCATTCTTGGAAACAACTTTGGACTTATAGGAAAGTTGCAAAATTAGTACACACACCGAGTTCCTGTAGAAACCCTGCCCAGCTTTCCCTCATATTACATAACCGTAAGTCCATTTGTGAGAGTCAGAGAATCATCGTTGGCACTGTACCATTAACTAATCTATACACTGCATTTACATTTTACTGCGTTTCCTACCACTGTTCTTTTCCTGGTCCAAGATCAGGGCAGGATCTATTGCATTTTTTTTTTTAAGTTGTCGTATCTGCTAAGTCTCCTGTAATCTGTGACAGCTTCTCAATCTTCCTTTATTTTTCACAAGCTCAACATTAAAAACAAAAAGAAAAAAATACATGAGCCAGTCATTTTGTAGAATGGTTCTCAGTTTGGATGGGTTCAATGTTTTTCTCGTGATTTGATGTAAGTTATCCATTTCTGGCGGGGATTCCACGGGATAATCTACAGTGAATCACATCAGGAAGAGATGATACCAAGGTCTCTTATTATTGGTGAGGTTGATTTTGATCACACCATTAAGGTGGTATCGCCCCGGCTACTTTATGGAAGAGTTATTACTGCTGTCTTTGTAATTAATAAAGACCTTGCAGGAAAAATACCTTGAGACAAAGCAAATATGTTTTTTGTCCCATGATACTGTTATCTACGAATTTTAGCATCTACTGATGATGATCCTTGCCTACACTCATTATTACTTTGTTGCTTGCCTGATAATGATTTTCTGCTTCCACCATTTCTTAGGCATTTGTTGTCATTCTACTGTAAGGAAGCTGACCCTTCTCCACTTCTTTACTTGGTCAGCAATTTAATTATGTCAATATGGACCTTCAGATATTTCTATGAGATAGAAATTTCTTCTTCTCCTCCTCCACTCGCCTCCCCCTCCTCCTTCTTCTGGATCACATTGCCCAGATGCATCTGTTGAGAGCTCAGTGGCACTTCTCCACCTCTCCTCACATCATTAGCACTTCCTTATGGTCCAGGGCAGAGGGTATCCCAGGTTCGACTTTTATTTCCTTTGCCCTAACTATTTGTTCCCTTTATCGAGTTTTTCTTGATATGTAAAAAAGACAAAATCTGTACGCTAGCTGTGTGCTCATTGCAACTGTGATGTCTTTGTAAGTCACCCCAGTGGACAGAGCTAGGAAACAGATGTAGGTAAGCTCATACGTGTATACACAATTATTCCTCTTTCTCTTTCTGTGTGTGTGCATTAAAACCCATGAATAAACACCAGAACCTAAAACTCTTATGGCAGTTCTTGTAATCATTTAAATTTTCTTTAACATTGAAGATAGTCTTTCTCTTTGGGTTGGAAATAATAAAATTTCATAACCCTCCTCTTCCTTAATATTTTATCTCCAGCACTCCACATGAGAAAATTAAGCCTCTCTCATTATTTTCCAGTAGCCAACAATCACTCCATCTACAGTGGCACTTTTGAGTAAGCTTTGGACTGATAACAGCCAGGTCAGTGGCTCAACCCCCCCAGCTGGTCCTTGGGGAAAATATGTTGTTTGCTCCCGTAGGGATTTATGGGAAGCACTGTATAGGTTTTCATGAGTCAGAACCCATGGCAGTGGGTTGGTTGCATTGCCTGGAAGCTTCATCCTAAGCAGGTGTTGTAAGAAGCAGATTCCCTGAGGAAAACAACCAACCAAACAAAACCCCCAGATTTCTTAAAAATTTCACAAGACTATCCACCATATCCTGGGTGCTATCTACATGACCCATGTTCTCCTGGGATCCCAAAGGAAACATGCTGGGTGGCTTCTCTCTCTCCTCTCACATGGACCTCACACTTGGTAAAGGAGAGGGCAGTGAAAAGAAAACCCTCCGTGAGATAGATTGGCACCATGGCTGCAACAGTGGGCTCAAAACGTAACTATTGAGATGCTGGCCCAGGACCGGGCGGGGGTTGGTTCTGATGTACATAGAGTCACTATGAGTCAGAACCGGCCAACAGTATCTGACAACAACAGAAGATCACATGTGTGTAGCGCATCTCAGCCCCTCAGTACTCGGAATATACAGAGATTTGAACCTCCTAAGTATTAACCACATTTTTAAAAATCAGTGTATTGGGGCCTCGTACAACTCTATCACAATCCATCCATCCATCCATTGTGTCAAGCACATTTGTACATTTGTTGCCCTCATCAGAACATCTTTTAAGCCATGATTCCGTTGATTTTTAGAGTATACCTGCTACTTAAAGACTTGGCTCTCTTGGGCGGGCAAAGCTGGGGACCTCTTCAGTTGTGTTCCTGAAGATATTACATGAGGTCTTTTCTAAGATGCCAGCCTTGACATAGTCCAGAATGGGGCGTCAGCGGATGGCCTTGAAGAGTAGAGGAGATAGAGTGATGACAGTAATACAGTAGCAAGTTCATTTGACATTTGCTTGACAGACGTGGAGGCCAGGCATCATGCTCGGTGGGTGATAGTTTAAAAGGGAGAAGGGAGGTTTGAGGAGTGGAATCCTATTTTTCTTAAAGGTGTATTTAATTGTGTTTTTTGGGTGGAAGTGCACACAGTACAATGGATCCTCATTCTACAATTTCTACACATTTTGTTCTGGTGATGGTGGGTTCATGGCTCACATCTTATCAACAGTCTCAGTATTTCCATTCTCGGTGGACTTGCTCTCCCCCAGCACCCCAGCCCTCCTCGTTGGTGTATTAGGATAGGCACGGACCATTTGGTCTCATGGTCTCACTCAAGGGTGATACTCATTGCTCTATGGGCTAACTTGCTATCTGAGTAAAAGCTGACTTAAAAAGGTAGTCTCAGTTCAAGGCTTAACCAAAGACCTCAGGGTAATAGTGTTAGGGATTCCTCCCATCTCAGAGGGCAAGAGTAGAATCTTACAGATCAGCGGGGAACTAAGTAGTGTTCATATGAAAGTTTCCAAATAGATAGAAATAAGTCCTCATTTTGATCAGCTCCACAATTTTGAGGTGTGGAATTCATGAAAAAGACAGAAGGTAATATAGATGGGCGAGGGCGGGTGGCTGGTGCAGATGTGTAGAAACTGAGAAGGTCATAGTATTGGTTTCTGATATCAAGTGCAGGGAGCTACTGAGCCAGAGCTATTATTTAGTCAATAAGTAAAATGGAATTAAAACTTAACTTTCTTCCCAATAAGCGTTCATTGATTAATGTAATGAAATAGAGACGATGAAATCCCTTGTCTGTTCATCCCCTCTCAACAGCCCACATTATTTTATGCTTACTTGGTATCATGTTTTTCATAACTCCATGTCATTTTCAGCTTGTGTTCCCTCACTTTATCCCCCTCACTGCATGGACCTACTATGGTCTCTTCTTCTGAAGACACCTGTGAAGCCTTGCAGCGCACTGTGAACACAGGGGTTGGCTGAACACTGGAGACAGGGATGCTGAATGGAAATGGGTACCACTCACTACGTTGGACCACTAGATGTCAACAGCGCGAACCAGAGTTGATTCATAGATATAATCCGGTTTTCTTATTCAGTAATGCAGAGTTTACCAAAAGGCCACTTAAACATTAATCTTTTGAAGTATCTCCAAAATAAGATTAAAAAAACCCCCAACCTTTGACAGATACAACACCGCTAGGTGCATCCTTAAAAAAATCTTTTTAATTAAAGAAACGTCTAGAATCAGAACCTGGCTGAAAACAGAGACGCTTTCTGGAAGCAATGAATTAGGAGCTAGTCAAAATTTAAATGTCCGTTCAGTGTTTCATTGTTGAAACCCGGAATACAGAGTAAATTGAGCTGATGGTGCAAGTTAGTACCATTGTTTCATACAAGATTTTGGCTAGTAGGCTTTTGAAGCAAGGAGAGCTTTTACGATACCGAAAAGAAATTCTTAAGTGTCTACTTTTGTTGTAAAAGCACGTCCACCATCTTACAAAGATTTATGTACTCCAGGGATAAAGGCATGTTGGGGCTCTTGGTTTCTTCTCTACTGCTTCACTAGGTGAACTGTTTATGTTGCTATATAGTGAACTGTATGTTTCACAGATCAAATGACCGTGTTGCATCGTGTTATCATGGAGGTAGAGACCTAAACGATCATCATAGGATTCGTGATCTTTGCCACAAAGCTTGTAGCGATTGCATTTTTAATAACTTGCTGCAGTCAACAGGGGTTCTATCTCACGCATCCAAGGCATGGCTTGCTGCCAGCTGATGGTGGCTGCAGCCCTTCAGCGCAGGTGGGAGAGCGGACGCACCATCCTGACCTTCTCAGGTCTGTTGAAAGATGGCGTTGGACTCTGGGGAGTCTGGTCTTGGTACGAAAACCATGTCTGCTTCTACTCTTCTTGCCGAGGGACTCCTGGAGAAGCTGACCCGCTGAGTTGGACTTGGGGCGGGCAGACCACATGCCATCTTCTAATAGCCTCTGGGGCCTTGCTGGTGTGTGATGCGTCTTACGAGCCTCTACTTCTCTCACCGTGACGGAAGTTGAGATCCATGGTGTTGTCTGTGGGACAACATGTTGCCCGAACCTGCACCATGTTCGTGATGCTGGGTGTGTTTTCGGTTCGTGGTGTCTCTGTGGCAGTCCGTCTCGGGGAGGGCCTCCCGCCTTCTCCTTGGCCTCTGCTTACCAAGACGCCTCCCGGCGTGACCCTTACAGGGCTCCCAGATAAGCGTGAACGAGGCCAGCCCTTCTCCACTAGACTTTTCCGGGAGCAGCCTCGAGAGTGTTGTTGGTGTGTGTCTCTTCCTCCTCTTGGCCCCGTCAACATGTGGCTTCATGTGTGCTTTGCCTCTGATGGCTGTTTCTCTCCCTCCCTCCTCCCCTCTGCAGACATGCCTTGAATTGGAACGCTACCTACAGACGGAGCCCAGGAGGATCTCGGAGACCTTCGGGGAGGACTTGGACTGTTTCCTGCACGCCTCGCCGCCCCCTGGCATCGAGGAGAGCTTCCGGCGCTTAGACCCCCTGCTGCTGCCCGTGGAGGCCACCATCTGCGAGAAGAGCTCGGCAGTGGACATTTTGCTCTCTCGGGACAAGTTGCTGTCTGAGACCTGCCTCAGCCTCCAGCCAACCAGCTCTTCCCTAGACGGCTACGCAGCCGTCAACCAGGCCCAGCTCAACGCAGTGACCTCATTAACGCCCCCGTCGTCCCCCGAGCTCAGCCGCCATCTGGTCAAAACCTCGCAGACTCTCTCAGCCGTGGATGGCACGGTGACGTTGAAACTGGTGGCCAAGAAGGCCGCGCTCAGCTCGGTGAAGGTGGGAGGGGTGGCCACAGCAGCAGCCGTGGCGGCGGTTAAGAGTGGACAGAGCGACAGCGAACAAGGAGGGGTCGGGGCCGAGGCATGCCCTGAAAACAAGAAGAGAGTTCATCGCTGTCAGTTTAACGGGTGCCGGAAAGTTTACACAAAAAGCTCCCACTTAAAGGCCCACCAGAGGACTCACACAGGTAGTGGTACAAGTTGGCCGCACGTGGTCCCCGCTTCTTTGTTTTCTCCGTTATCTCCTCTGTGTTCTGAGAAGTGGCATCCGTATTCAGTAGGAGGGGATCTCGAGGCAGGAGGACCTGGGGGGGAACACAGAATGGCTCCCTTGTTCCCTTAGGAGCTCAAGATGTCCTGAGCTCAGAGCAAGGGTTTGTCACTCTGCTGGCTACGAGAGACCCTCCCAGGCAGAGCTAATCACAGCGTAGAATCAGATGGTTGTGTGGCTGATGGAGGGGGCTGGGGGCGGGGCGCTCGCTCTGGCTGTGTGAGTCACTGCCTGACATGATGCATACACTTGTCACTTTACTGACACGTTTCATTGTTTTATGAATGTAGCTCTCTGGTTTTGATCCACACGGGAAGCTGAGGTGGTGCGTTTGAAAGATTTCACAGTTAAACAAGGTAGCCAGGGTGTCCCTGTTCACTCTTCTCCCAGCATCCCTGATTTTTCATCAAAGTCACCAACCGCAGGAGGGTTTCGGAGTTCATTAGATGTGATCATTGTATAATTAATTGACATCTCCTCTTTTGCATTGTTCTCTGGCGCGTGCTGTATGGAGAGATGGCAGAATTGCTTTTTAATGAGCTTGTTACTGAGAAGTTGCTAAAGTGATTACATTGCTATGTGTGTGGTAGAGGCAGGGAGGGGAGGCACAAGGACTGTGTATTTTACCCAAGACTTTTGCGGGCACACCCAGGAACCATTTTGATGCAATGGGGTTTACACAGCAAAGAGGGAGATAGGCATTTTCCTTGGCACCGGTCTTTGTTCTCTGACCTGAGGTTGAAGCTTAGTGATGGCCTATCGTCTTGATGTTAAGGTCCTACTAGGAATCCTAATCATTGGGGCTATCAATGAGTCCTGTGTTATGTATTAGCCAAACTGAGCAGGGAAAAGCCCCAGGGCTTCCCGTGGCATGGAAGAGGAAGCACTAGGAGAAGGGTCTGGTGAGCGCTAGTTTCTCGGCTCACTACGTGGCTTGCTGGGGTTCTGTGGTGTGGCTGGAAAGTCAGGAAAGCTTGCACTCTAGTTGCTGGGTGGCACCAATAACTAAGTGCTCCACTACTAACGCACAGTGTGGTGGTACCAACCCGCTCAGGGAAGCGATAGAATAAAGGCCTGGGGACCGGCTTCTGTCAAGATGACAGCCGAGGAAATGGTGGGAGGCAGTCCCACTGAGCAGCACTTGGGGCTGCCCTACGTGGGAATGATTTGACAGCCATGGGTTTGGCTTGGTCCTTCCGTATCACTACCTAGCTGGGTCACTTCCAGCATATCCTTCTACTTTACCAGGCCGCGAGCCCACAGCTAGCCAGCAGTGGACTCGTAAGATCCCTTTCTTTCAGCGCTACTGTTCTGGAGGTCTGTGAAATGGCCCTGCGTGGTACAGAGCATTCCCAAAGCTCGGGTGAATAACACATAGCTAAGGAGATGGCTATGTTGAAGTTCCAAGCTATTCCCATGGGAGGAAGAGGTCTGCCATTGCTTCCTTGCCGGCACAGGGTTTAGGCATGGACTCCTCGCTTTCCGCTCTTGGTCTGTGGTGGTCCCCCACCTCCTCTTTGCACTTCGTGGATAGGGAGCAGAGTCCTGCTCATGGTTTGCTGGCAGAATGTGGGTTTGACTTGTGGGCTTTACCTTCTTACACCAAAGCTAACACTTTCGGCTCTCCTCATCTTCTTCCTCGGTGATAGTGTTCTGAAGGTGGTTTTGGATTTTTGTACGTAGTCCTCTCTTTCTAAAAACGAGTAGTGACTGAATGTGGCAGTGCTCCCAGGCTTCACAGTATGGCTCACTTGCTCCCCGGAAGAAACCTGACAGAGCAAGGCGAGGCAAGCATGTCGAATGGAGTTGGAATTCATGATTCTGGCCACCTTTCCAAATTACTGACCTTGAGAGAGTGGACAAGGTACTCCTAGGGGAGACTGCAGTTCTGGGAATGCGGAGGTTCATTTAAAGGGCTTTAGAGCATCCTCGTCTTCTTCCTCATCCTACAGTTGGCACAGGGTAACTGTTGTGATGGATGCATCATTTGGGGCTTTGTTTCTTGAAGGTTACCCACTTGGAGTATTACTGAGACAGAGTTCATCGCATCACCCAGCACCCGCAACCCCTTGCCGTAGGTCAATGGAAGTGAAATGCCTCCTTCCCTTAGGGAACTTACTCTTGAAGGTGCCATGCATTATTAGGAAGGCAACAATACAGAGAGGTTAAGAGCGAGACTTTGGATTCAGGTGAACTTGGTTTGGAGTTCTGGCTGTACCTCTTACTGGATGTATGACATAGACCCTGAGTTCCCAAATGGTTTGGAAGTACCGCTGCTTTTCAGAAAAAATAATCATAATAATTACTCTGTGCCCCCTGACAGTTAAAAACATTTGCACTACAGCCCATAATCTGGGATAAATTGTGGTGTCTGCTTTGGCAGCCCCCCTGGATCATCCCAGGGGCCCACAGGAGGTGGTGCCGCCCACTCTTGGAAATGCTGAAGACCCATGGCTCCCCTTCCCTGAGTCTGGGTTTCTTTACAACAGATCAAGCGTCTCCCTCTGAACTTGTTTTCAAAATTAAATGAGCAAATACAAGTAAAGTAGATAGTAAGAGCCCATTATAGCTAATAGTAGGGTTGGTTGTAATTAATGCTGTAGTTACTGTTGATAATGATTAGTGATGCAAAGTGTCTGTGTGTGGGGGTTGGGGGGGTGGGAGGTGGGCAAAGCTTTATTAAGCTAGAAATAAACTAAAAAGCCAGGGTCTACCTCTGCTTCCAGTCTACCTCTGACCAATGGGGCTAAGATGCTCAAAGGCACCTGCCGTGGAGGTTGAGACTGACATCACGCATCCGCAATGCATTCACAAGCATTTTACCTGGAGAACCCTTCCTCGGACACAGGGCTGGAAGAGCAAGTAGGTGCTGTAGGAAAGAGAGGCCGCCAGAGGGAGGGAGCAGCAGCGGTGGAGGCTGGGGGAGGGGCTATGCATTAATTTGGATTAAATGGATGAGAATCAGAGTATTTATTTGGAATTGGTGTGAATGGGGCACATGGGGAACTGAAAACAAAGGTGATAATTTATGTGGTGTGGATGAACTCAGAATAATGAAAAAAGCATGAAGGATGGAATCAAATTAAGTGCCAACATATAAAGGCGTAAAAGCTCCAGGCCAAAGGTCTATGGCGATGGGGATTCTGGTTGGAAGAGTTTGCTGATCTAAGGCAGAGACGCGGGAGCACTGACCATCAAATGTGATGCTGAATGCAGAAGGGTGGGTTGGGGGGCTACGTTTGGGTTCAGACAAAGCATTTAAACCCAGGATTCACTTTCATCTCATGAAACAGTTCCTCATATTTTAGTTACAGAAAGGCTGTGGAACGGGAGAGAACGCAAAAGCATCCCAAAGAAAGAAAAGTCCGTGTTTTGTTCGTCAGTGTTTTGTCTGCATCGCGTGTCTCCTCTGTGGTCCCGGTTTACAAGGAGAGTCACTTGCAAAAGGAAACCAAACTGAAGTGAAATGGGCGAGTCTCCCATGTTGAGAAGTAAAATGGTGCTGGCAACGTGGATTTGCTTGCACCGAGGAAATTTGAACCTGTTATTCATGTATTCATTATATAGATAGAATTTACTGAACTGGAAAAGATGCACACACATACACAGCCGCTCCACCTCCCTTGCCGTGGCTGTGCTTCAAGGATGCTGTGAATCCTTCTAACTTTTTGCCCTGGAGGATGCTTGGCAGTGAGTGGGTTTTTTTGTTTTTCAAAGGAGCAGATGTTCCAGTCAGTAGGTAGCTAGAACACGGATACCGGTTGCCCTCGGAGGTGAAGTTAGGGATGGGGGAAGCAGGCCCGGGATGGAAGAACGTGAGGCAAGACTAGGGACAAAGGGGGTGGTAGCAAGTATCAGGATCTTAGTGAGGGGAAGTGTATGGATATGGACCTACGGTTTGTTCACGGGCCAGAGGAGCACTTAGCACTGGCTGGAACATTAAAAACTCCTTTAACCTCCAGGCCATTATAGGCTTTACTTTCCCCACTAGGTTTCCTGATCTTTGTATAAGACATGTTGCTTCCTTCATCCACATTCCAAGCGTTGTGATCGCAGTCTCTTCCATCTTCGTCAAGTCAGCCGCGTCCCTTCTCCCTGGGTGCCAGGGAGACCTTGGCTTCTCACGGTTAAGAAGTCACTACATCCTCGTGTTCAGAATAAGAGTCCATGTGTTAAAATTCTTGTGTTTCTATGCGAGGAAGCGAGAGTAAGGCCTTGTTTCCCACAGCTCTTCCTGTCCGCTTGCGAGGAAAAAAGGAAAAGCGTGCGCTTTAATTGTTGCTTCGCCCACGAGGGCCTCCGTCTAAAAAGCAGGCCCATGGTTGTGTACTCTGAAGAGCGGGTCATGTTGGTGAAGTCAAGGTCAAGGCCAGTGGTTCAGTCTCTGCTTGTTGGTCACCAGCGAGAGACGTGAACAAGTGTGTTTTTTCCTGAGCTGTTGGGAAGGTGCTCCGTAGACTGCAGTTGCTTGGACTTCCTGCCTGAGTGATGAGAACATTCCAGCTTCCCAGTGAAACATGGAAGGGGGTGCTTTACAGGAGGAAAGGTAGAACACACGTGTGATTTACCAATTTTGCGTTTGCTTTTTGTCTTTTTGAATCAGAGGAGTCCCTGGGGGGCACAAATGGTTAACCCAGAAGCTGGTGGTGCACACCCACCCAGCAGTGCCTCTGAAGGACGTCCTGGCGATCCGTTTCTGACCAGTCCGATCCTAACATCCCTCTGGAGTGATTCCATTCTGCATGCAGGGAGCGAGCTCAAGTCGCAATCCAGTCCACCTGGCAGTTGCAACTAACATCAACAACAAAACATTAACATTGAAAAAGAAGTAGTCAGGAATTAGAAGAGTTTGTCTTCAAATGAAAAGATGGTCCAAAGTATCACCCATAAAAAGCCAAGCTGCTAAGAAACAGGTGA